GACAAATTGAGAGAACGGTTCTACCTTGCTATGTTTTTATCATGCTAAATACAATATTTCACACACTCGTAAAATTTTGTGAAAAGCGAAAAACGGACTTTTAACGGAAAAACTTTCGAAGTGAAACGCGCAAGATGGTTAGATTAAAATGTGTTTTTTGTAATCGTGCGTATGATAAGATAAAACGCTTTACGCAAACAAATTTCGAACAGTGTTTGCGAATTCAAAATTACAATAGGTTTGTCCCGCGGATGCGATGTAAGCACATTATATTTACACGTATAATGTGTTCCTCTATGTCCATGATAAATTTTAAGTGCAATGTCATAGATCAATTTTCGCAAAAATGTTGACATTTTTACGCGGTTGTAAGCGGTACATTGTCCCGCGAAATAAGTGTGAGTGATCATTTTTTGACATCGTCCAATGTCAATTGATAACCACACAAAGGGCCAACGACTACAAAATAAGGTTATTTTTAAATTTTTATTACATAGTCCTAATGCTCCTGACACCAAAAGGTCTCACGGTGCGATGTAAGTGATGTGGTTTGTTAATCTACAGGAGTAAATTTAAGTCCCCGATATGTAGTTTTTGACGATCAAATAGGCACATTTTTACTATCGCTAGCTCCCGGACTATAAAGTTTTGGAGTTAAAAACTCAAATAGAGAAAATAGTCAAAGATTCAAAGTACAAATTTTTGATATAATGAAACTATGTAGTTCTTAGTTTTTCTCTTTTTACTTGTAAAATAAACACTTCTAAAATAAATGTATTTTTTGATTATTTTTCGGTTTTTGTCTGTATTTAATACCTTATTTTGCCTTCTAGTGCCTTTTCCTACCTATTTTCCCTTTTTTTTGTAGGTTTTTATGTCCTAAAACTCCGTTCCCTGGTAATAATGTTGTGTGTGAACTCCAAAAAAATGGAAATGATAGGATTATTTTAACACATACCTTCGATGCAAAACCTAACCCCAAAATGCCTTAAAAATACCATAAATGCCATCATTATTATATGAGGTTACCTTAAAAGTCGGAAATATGAGCAAATTGTTAGTTGCTCCTGTACGCGCTTTCTATTGAACACGTTGCGTGCATAGGCGGTGAGCGTGCATGGTTCACGATGCTTGCGCGCTGTGACAAATGTTGCTGTAAGTCAAAAACAGAAACAATTTTTTTTTTAGAATTATTTTCTTCATTAAATGCACTTTTCGAAAATATAAACGAAATGGGAAACACTCATTGAGAACATATTTTCAATGCAACCTGAATATTTATGTTTAAATAAAAAAAAATCTAAATTATAAAAATATTTTTTTTAAAGCTCTAATGTCGCTTAAAACAAAAATTTCATCAACTTTCGTCAAATACTTTAAGAGAAAATGAGTTTTGAAAAAGATTGCTTAAAAATATACTTGCTTATAATAACTGTAAAAATTACAATTTTTCAAACAACTTCAGAATCCCTTTCACATCTATAAACCTCTCTACCCACAAATTTTCACGCAAAAATTCGAACTTGACTGAAATCCGAGGTCCAGTTGAGAAATGTTTACCCATTACATATGTATGTTTGTACATATGAATGCACATAGAAAAAATATTTTTTGATATTCATATAAAACATTGTAATTTATTTCGATTCAATTTATTTTCACATTGTTTGATTATTGTAATGACGACACATATTATCAGAACAGGTATTTACTCAGATTCAAAAAATTTTTAAGCCAAAATCATTCATTCGTTTTTTGTGCATGATAAAAATATTTAAAGGTAAAACCAAGGCGAATACATATAAGGTGGTATCGATTGAACAAATACAACAATTACTTGAATTTTGTTTTTGTTTTTAGCGGTCCATTGTCAAATTTCAGCTATTCTTCCTCGAATGAAAAGGGGCGACAGAAAATACAAACACTCACGTTTTCACTCACTCACTAACAAAATACAAAATTTTGACAATCAAACGCTACTCACAGCTGATGAAACAACACCACCTTATATAAATTCGCCTTGGGGAAAACCGCTCGCTCAATTTGTCAGCCATAATTTTTTTTTAAGTTTGTCTACTTTATAAAATTTAAATTTTCAGAACAACTCATATGCCAATTAAAAGTAAAACAAAAAACAAATAGGTGAAAATATTCAAATTTTGAGACTGAAACTGAAGCGTTGTTTGTGAGATTGAAAATTTTAAAACATTTTCATATGTTAGCAAACTTCAAAAATGTTCAGGCTGCCTCTCAGCGGTTTTACCTTCAAATTTTTGTATCATGCGTTTTGTATATGAATAATTCATAAGCCGTTTTGAATAACTTCATGCAGCCCTCTAATACATACATACATACAGTGCCGGACATAAGTTTTGGCATAGCAGATGATATCAACTTAAATGTCCGAATTCGGGTCAAAATAATGCAAAATTTTATTATTTTATATTCAGTGCATATTTATGTATGCATACAGATTGCATATTTTACAAAAACTTATTATTAAACCTGTTAAATAAGGGAAGTTCCTTAATAAAACTAAAAAAATACCGTTTTTCATGGTGACAAAAGTATTGGCACACCTTTGTTCCTTCTGGATATATTAAAGATTTTGCTGATCTGGCAGCTCAATTTAACAAGACATGTATGTTATAATCTTCAGTTATTTAATTGAAATGTGTTTTTTGTGTCAATCGAAACGAATTTTGAGTAAGATTTATTTTTTTTGTAAAAATGGGTCGAAAACAGTGTGGAACATCAAAATCGCAGCGAAAAATAATTCTACACCTGCATAACCAAGGCAAATCTTACGCAGAAATCGGCGAAATTATGGAGCGAAGCCGTTTTACAATACGCAATGTAACAAAGCGCTACACAGGATCGACAAACTTGAAAATGCCGAGGGAACTGGCCGTCCTCGAAAGCTTTCCACTCGGGAATGCGCCCAAATCGTACGAAAAGTAAAGAGTAACCCCAAAATTACATCGACCCAGATTACAGCAGAGATTAAAGAAGCCTTTGGTAAGGATGTTCACAGCAAAACAGTAAGACGGGTGCTGCACAATGCTGGATACAATTCTCGAGTCGCCAGGCCTAAACCAATGATTTCGAAAGTCAATCAAATCAAGAGAAAAACATATGCAATAGATTATAAGAGCAAGCCTAACAGTTTCTGGGATCATGTTTTGTTTTCCGACGAAAGCAAGTTTAACATTTTCCGCTCGGATGGCCGCATTAATGTGTGGCGAAAACCCAACACCGCGCTGGCAGCTAAAAATCTTGCACCAACAGTAAAATACGGCGGCGGAGGCGTAATGGTGTGGGGTTGCATGTCCGCAGCAGGTGTAGGTGAATTAGTCTTCATTGAGGGAATTATGAACCATCAAGTTTACCTAAACATTTTAAAGGAAAACTTAAAAAAAAGTGCTGAAAAGTTGAACTTGCGCACTTCATTCACTTTTCAGCATGACAACGACCCTAAGCATATGGCTCAAGACGTAAGAATGTGGCTTGCTTACAACATCGCACATGTTCTACCGCATCCTCCGCAGTCTCCAGACCTCAACCCTATCGAGCATCTCTGGGAAGAGCTGGAGAGAAGGCTTAGAAAGCGCTCGATTTCCACCAAATCTGAATTGAAAGCAGCTTTGTTAGAATAATGGAACAATATTGGGGAGGAGTCTACAAAAAAGTTAGTGTATTCAATGCCCAATCGACTACTTGCAGTCATAAAGCAAAATGGATTGCCAACCAAATATTAGTTTTAGTAAATAACCATTTATTTTATTGTTAAATCTTAAATGTGCCAATACTTTTGTCACCATGAAAAACGGTCTTTTTTTAGTTTTATTAAGGAACTTGCCTTATTTATCACGTTTAATAATAAGTTTTTGTAAAATATGCAATCTCNGCGGTATTTTTTTAGTTTTATTAAGGAACTTGCCTTATTTAACGGGTTTAATAATAAGTTTTTGTAAAATATGCATTCTCTATGCATACATAAATATGCACTGCATATAAAATAATAAAATTTTGCATTATTTTGACCCGAATTCGGACATTTAAGTTGATATCATCTGCTGTGCCAAAACTTATGTCCGGCACTGTATGTATATAACTGTTAAATTTACAGAATTTGAACTCGATGCCCGATATAATTTTGACTCCATTTATGCTAAGCGCCATAATATCATTGACTTCTGCTAACCGTGAACCCGAATCTCATCGTCTGACAACGTCCGTTCTTCTGCACTACCTTCGCAATGTCATACACAATAATGAGCATGAGCAAAAGATGGCAGAATACTCGGTGTGGTGTCGAGACACTTTACAACGCAAGCAAGTTCAACTTGATTATGTTTTTACAGTACTCATAGATCAGAATAAGCATGGACAAGATGTGATAACACCAGGTCTGGTTAGTTTGGCGTTTACTTTATTGAAAGCAAAGGGTAATGCACCATTGAACTCACTTGCTATGAGCTTTCTCACGAAATTCATTCGCAAACGTTTTGTATTCGGACAAGGTATTGTGAAAAAGTTAGCTGAATGGATGGTAGTAGAACAAGATCAATATCAATTTGGAGGTATTTATAGTACATTCTTATTGCAATAGTATGATTTTTGAATTGAACTGAGGATATTTGAATACAGAGTGTTTAATGATGTTGAGCGTCGCTGATACTTTTACCCTTTCCGAGTGTGTAAAGACGATAAAGTATGTAATGGAGTTATTTTTGTGGGTAAGAATTTTTAATAACTTTGCAATACATATTGATTTTTAAAATGCATTCCCTTTTTATAGTTACCTAGCGAACAATCAATGCGTATGATGTCTTTTATACTACCAATTCTAAAACTTTCCGCAATTGTTCGTGACTCATTCATTGAAGTGTTGAGTAAGGCGATTAACTCGGGGTAGTTAGCATAATCCTTATCAAGAGAAAAACGGTTTTCTTGTTTATTAGTAAAAACTTTCCTTAATCGTATTTTTTAGTGACCAAAGTATCCGATCAATGGCTGTTTATGGTTTTTGTATGATACTTAAGCAATTGAACAACAGTAACTCCCAGCGATCCCAACCTAGAGCTTCAAGTTTTTGTACACAACTTAGTATTTCCGGATTCTCTTTGATGTCTCAGGCGACTTTGGGAAATCGTCAAAATCCCAATCGTCATTTTGATTTGCTAACATTGGAGATTATTGGTCTGCTGCGAAGTTGTTTCGCTAACAATTTACCGATGAAACGAGTGCTGTATGATAGTATGTAGCAAATATAAATATAAATATATTTATACCAATGGGCCATTCCGTTTCAACTGGGTATACTTTAGACCACCCATGTGATGTATGTATGGTATTTGTAAAATTACTTATTTTTTTGCCGCACGTTTTCGGACAGATTGGCGATGAAAAGTAAGTTTTACAGAAAAAACGGATACTCTGTAGTTAAAAACACTCAGGGTTTGGACTTAAAGCGTGAAAATTTACCAAAAATAGTGTATATCGTTAGTAGACAGGAAAAAAGGTGGGAGCTCCAAAGTTGACCGGGAAAAAAAAAAACTTAAGCGAAGAAAGGCGACCAAACCTAGCATTAACTTATTTTTGCGTTGAACTATGTTTGCGGGTTTAATAATATGTACATTCCCCAAACAGTTTTTTTCGGCGTTAAAACAATGGCGCGCCTTTATTCGCGCGCATATTGGCTATCTGCACCAACATAAATACCCCTTTCGAAGCTACCACGGTCCGGGCTGTATAATTTTGAGTAAATTAGCGTCCTTAAATTTGGAAATATCGAAGTTACTGAAATTTACCGTTAAATGAAAAGCTCCGTAATTTTAGTACGATTTCAATAATTTTCAACGGTTTGCTTTCATGTGGCAAGCACAATGACCATACCGAGTTTGGTGCAAATTTTTAGAACGGTTACCGAGATACATATATGTGATCATAAGTAGGCGGTGCCACGCCCACAGAAATTGGTGCAGCGGTTTCCAAGATATACACATGTAACCATAAGTGTGCGTGGCTACGCTCATTTTCCAAAAATTTATAATATTCTTATTTTTAGTCTAAAAATTATTGTGAATATCAATTTTGAGGAAATAATCCTCAGTAGTTACTAAAATATCGCAGTTTTCGTATTTCTCGAAATTACCGTTATATGGGAGGTAGGCGTGGTTTTATTGCCCGATTTTTCCCATTTTCAATACCATCCGTCCTACACCCGAAAGAAGTACACATACCAAATTTCGTTAACATATCTCGATTTTTACTCGAGTTACCGTGTGAACAGACGGACGGACGGACGTACAGATAGTCACCGCTGAACCGATTTCTCTTTTCATTCTGATTATTTATGTATACATTTGTCTATATCTATCTCCATTAGTTTTGCCTGTTACAAACAACCGTTATGTGAACAAAGTTATAATACCTTTGTGCACAAGTGCGCTCGGGTATAAATTGTTGAAACAAAATTTTTAATATAAATACTCGCATTTAGTAGACTAAAATCTGAGCACATGTTACCAGAGTTACCGAAACAAGGTACAAAATGATTTGAAAATTAACGCCAATAGTTTTTGCAACTTCATAAAAAAGAAATGCCGCAACGATGCTGATATTTCATCAAAATGATTTCGGATGACATCGGCGCTAGTAATAGTGCCAATGTATTTTGTTTGCATCATTTTTCAAAAATAAAATGAATCTGCTGCATCTGCAGTTTGCAATATGAAAAGTAAATGTTAGAGTTTTAACGTCGGAATTTGAAGTGCGATTTGATGACGCATACCGCCAATTGAAACTTCTGAATATTAGAAAAAGTCGCAAGACCTATTCGGATACCTAATATTTTTCTTGGAAACTGGGATATTCGCTCTGTAAGCCAATCTCACACATGTTTAGCAAATCTCTAGAAACTGGTTACTTTCCCAAAAATGTCATATATAAATCGGGCGACAGGGTCAATATTTAATCAATCTTCACGTGCTAAACTATTGGAGAAAATCGTTATACCACAAATAACTTTCGCGTTAAAACATGTTATAAATTATAGGTTTGTATAGTAACTTCTCCAGTAAAACATTGCAGCGAGAGCGTAAAAGCAAAATAGAGCGTAAAATTGAGAATAACAGAAAACTAGCAGAAAAAGTTAATGAACAAAAAACTTGCAAGTGAACAGCTGTTGCTCTGTTTTGATATTCTGCTGTAAACATTTTACTATTTATAAATCATTTTTAAACGCTTTGCTTTACAGCAGCTACACACGACGAGCATATCCGCGCACATGTGCACCAACATGCTGGCTGTCGTTTGCTACAAACGGCGAGCGGCTCATAAGTGATTTTGTACTCAAAGCGTAAACATGGAAAGGAAAGACGCGGATGATGCAATTGAAATACTTATGACTTAGGGTTTTTTATGTATGTGTTACTTAAATTGATTTATATTTTACTTATATGTATGTACATACATATACATATAGTAATTTAGCCTCATTTATCAAAAATTCAATTAACGCACATGGCTTGGATGCATTTATCCGCGATGTGCACACTGCAAGCATCAACACAAAATGAGGTTGTTGTTTTTGTTTCCAATGCGATGCTCGCAAACCACGCTACAAACGACGAGCATGCTCGCTGAAAATCAAAATTTTTTGATTTTTGGCGAGCATGCGCGCAAACCGCCCTACAAACGACGAGCATGTGCGCATGTGCGCGGATATGCTCGTCGTGTGTAGCTACTGTTACACACACGCACTTACACAGTCCAGTACATCATTAATATTTTGATTTCTACTCATTTTACTTTTGTTTGTGCTAAACCAATTCAACAAATGGCGCTTATTCTTCTTCTTCTTTTGCTAGCTAATTTCTGCTAGTAGAAATTTCACTAGCAAGAATTTGCAGCTCTCCCGTGTTGTTACGCTCTCGATTCAGCGCTCTCTTGCAAATTTTTTGGGTTATCATACACTTTTCCAGTAAAAATTTGCAGGTTCCAGTACAAATTAGTACTGACTATTGGTTACTATACAAACCTTATAACTTATAATTCCAAGGCAGCATGGATTCTTCGGTGGGAGATCACTAATCTTTATCTTTACATCAAACATACTCGATGCACGTAACAACGTCCGAGATGTACACTCATTATACACTGACGCACTGAGCAAAGCATTTACATGGTTTATCACGAAGTTCTGTTTAGTAAATAAAAAGGCTATGGCGTCAAAAGCCGTAAGCTGTTTTTTTCCGCTCATATTTATATGGTAGGCGAATGCGAGTTCGTGTCAACAGAAATTTGTCAAATGAGTATGGTTGCGGTATATCTCATCGAAATCAAGAATGATAGAATACAAGATTGCGCCGATCGGAGAGGATTTTTGAGAATAACTTGTGTGTGACGTCACACTGGTGCAATTGCGAGAGAGAAATGCCAAAACGTGAGCAAGAATGGAAGAAGAAGAAAAAATGTTGCAAGGAAAACGTAAACAAGTTGCACCAGTGTGACGTCATGCAAACAGCGATTCTGTCAAATTCGTTGAGAGAGGAATAGCGGTCCGAGATCGGCGCAACCTTTGTATTCTCTCAATCGTGCATCGAAATCATCTGTTCCTATCCTTTTTAGCATACTCATAATTCATATTGGTACATATGAAACTCAAATCTGAGTTTTTGTTATATTCTGATGATACGAAGCTATTCAGAGCTATAAGTGGCAATCATGACATGGAAATTCTAAAGAGAAATATTTTGCTAAAAGAATGGTGTATAACAAATAAGCTGCATCTGAATATACAAAAATGTGCTGTCACATGTGGTCTTCTTCTTTTTTTTTTGGCGCTGTAACCGCCTAAGCGATTTTGGCCGAGTTCAGCAAAGCACGCCAGTCGTTTCTCTTCTGTGCCAACTGACGCCAATTGGAAATGCCAAGTGAAGCCTAGTCCTTTTCCACCTGGTCTCAAATTTCACCACCAATTTCAAATTAAAGCTGTTGCAGACTCATAGGCTCTTTTGGGACTTACCACATTTTCTCTATGATTTTGTTCTTTTAATGTGGACTTAGCACATTTTCTATCAACCTGTTTTTCATTATTTTTTATTGTTAAATGATTTAGTTGTTTATTTTAAATATATTTTATTGAAGTCGTAAAGTTATGTACCATTTATAAAGGAAAATAATTAAAAATAAGCAAGGAAGTATAAGTTTGGGCGAAACCGAACTTTATATACTCGGCGCAGGTATCAAATATTGTTTCAACTTTCTCTAAACTACGGCGACTTCCAAAATGTACCAACACAGTGTTTGGATATCGTTCTACTGCGGTATTTAAACGGTTTGTATATGCAGATTTGCGAAACATTGCAACCACAAACATTGCATATTTTGAATATTCAATATAACAATAAATAACCTTTCGTAATTTTCCATTTTCTCGACACCAGTCACATCTAAAAACAAACGAAGCATCAAACTTGATTCTGATGCGCTGATTACTTAGCGGTGCGTTTCGATAACTTTTCGGATGCATTTTGGAAATGTATATATTGTCAACATTTTGTAGTTCGACGTTTGGGAACATTATACCATGATAAAAACATTGCAAGGTAAATTCATTCTCTCAATCCGTCGGCCATAATTTTTTTCTGACATTTACCAGCATTTTAGAATCATATAAAATTGAGAATAAAAAAAATGAAATTGTTCACAATTGTTGTTGGTTGAGATTAAAAATGAAAATGTGTGTGTGAGTTTGAGTTTTGAATTTTTAAATTATATTGCTCATGCATCATACTTTGTAGGTATGCCATGTAATTGACGTTTTGGGAGTCAGCCTACCTTTGCATGATAAGAAACGTTTTCGATAATATGCTGAGTTAGACTCAGTGATATAATTGAACCAAGTTTGGTAGAAATCGATGAAGTGGTTACCGAAATACACCTTTATAGTGAAAGTGGGCGGTGCCACGTCCAATTCCTAAAAGTCTATAGCAGTCTTATTTATTGTTAAAAGAGAGTTTCCGTATTTATGAAATTTACCGTTATATATACGGGAAGCGGTTGTAATTTTGGTCCGATTTGAATAATTTTCAGCGAATTGCGAATTACCAAGGTTATTAAGTGCACCGAGTTTGGTAGAAATTCATAAATTGGTTACCGAGTTACACATCTGTCATAAGTGGGCGGCGCCACGCCCATTATCCAAGAATTTTCAATAATCTAGTTGCCTGCTAAGCGGTTATCGCAATCAT